AAAAAAAAAAAAAAGTTTTAATCCTGGGATTTATACTCAAAAAAGAGTAGAGAGCAATTCAGAATTAATACTTGTGCTTAGGTCTATGAAATGGATTTTAGGTACGACAAACATAGAGATTTTATTTGCCTTTTTTTCTAAGTGGAAATTCCTTAATAAAATGCTATCCAGATATTGTGGATATCAAGCCTGCCAATATGGAAGAGCTGACAGAGGTGATTACAGCAGCAGAGTTCCATCCAAACAGCTGTAATACATTTGTATACAGCAGCAGTAAAGGAACTATTCGGTTATGTGACATGAGGGCATCTGCTCTCTGTGATAGGCATTCTAAACGTAAGTTTATTGAGTCTTTCTTTAAAATGATAACATATTCTGTTTGTCTGACACGAGCCTCAGACATGGTAAGTACAACTACAGAGGTTTACAAGTCTTAAACCTATGTGTTCAAGGCTCTTGTACCCTTTGGTAAACTGCCTACCTCCACATGAGGCATTCCAGGCTGTTCAGCCGGAAGCACACATAATAAGGCTGTCTTGGAGGCATGGGTCTGTTGGTTCCCAATGCATACATTTTTAGTGCTGTTCTTTGGGAACTTATGTTTGGGCTCTCCAACATTGTATTCAAAAGTAGAGCAGTTCTTTTCTTTCCTTCCCTCCCTCCTCATATCCTCCCTTCTTCCCTTTCTGTTTTGAACTTTGTAGAGAGATTTCTTCTGAGAAGAGGTTTTTTTAGCTTCAAAAAAGAAGTTTGAAAACCATTGGATTAAAAAATTAAGAGGTTGCGATAGTCTTGTCTTCATGTTGACTATTTCTAAAACTCATGAAAACTGGTACATACCTTTTATGAAAATAATTTTACCTGGCCACTGGAAAATAAAATCCCAGTATGAATTTTGGATGGGTGAAGATAGTGTGTTTCTTGTGGTGATGAAACAGGCAAAGTCAGTGAGGGTATATTGCAGAATATACTAGCCTGGTGCACTGAAGTTGGAAGTCCCAGTGAGTCTGGTTCTGCTAAAGTAGCCACACGACTCTGGAAGTATACTGCTGCTTTTGCACCTTCAACTTCAATATTAAGTCATTCTCTTAAAGTTTCAGGGGATTACATTGTTCTAGACAGAGAGATGCTTTTCCGTTCTTTATTAGCCTGTCACTTTACTCTTAGAGAGTTTGTGAATGGGTGTTTCAGGAAATGCTTTGTTCAAGTCAGAATATTCTACACCTTGCCCTTTTTTGTTGTTTTGTTTTGTTTTTAGTGTTTGAAGAACCTGAAGATCCCAGTAACAGGTCATTTTTTTCCGAAATCATCTCCTCTATTTCTGATGTAAAATTCAGCCATAGTGGTCGATATATGATGACTAGAGACTATTTGTCAGTCAAAATTTGGGACTTAAATATGGAAAACAGGCCTGTGGAAACATACCAGGTATTTGCAGTTTTTTCTTTCAATGAGATACACCCTATTTACTTTCAAGTGTTTGTAGAGAAGGATTTTGTACTGGGTGTTAATCCTGATAAGGTGTTTGTTCACCATTCACCGTTAGGCCTTTTCCCTCAGATCCATGAGTATGTTGCTTTTCCTTATGGTAAAATGTATGTATACTGCATAGGTTGTGTTGTCTTTTCAGTTTTCCACTTAAACAGTGTGATTTGCTACCCATTTGGTTTAGTGTTGACAACTTTTTCCCCATGTACATTTAAAGTGAGGAAGGAAGAACACTCTTGATTAAGGTCTGGGCAGGAAGAGGATTGAGGAGAATGGCCAGTCCTGGGAGAGGTGCCCATACTCCTGCATGGTGTATGTGCGGGAGTAGTTGAACTAGAGCTTAAATGTAGCACGCTGAGTCAAATGGACTGGTCTTCTCCCTGTTGGCAGATAACTGTTGTCTTCAGCTAAAGGAGAAGGGCTTGAAAGCCCAACAGATGGCTTTAGGAGTTGCCTGTCCATTGTAGGATGTCAGTTCTGGAATCTCTTGTCAGCCAACCACTACCATTGAAATTGCCAACCACTGCCATAACATCAGAAATAGAGAAGAGAATGATGAAGTGCACAGCCCAGAACAGGAGAGGGCCGACGACATATACCTGTGTTAGACCCCAGACTACAGTGTAGAAAACACTTAAGTCTGCTTTAGGAATACAGAATTTATAAACAGTACCTTCTTTATGTTGTATATTCTCAATAAAATTAGAATGATGTTTCTCAAACTTTGAAATCCCTTTTGACAAACATAAACCACTCAAGATTCTTTTTAATGGTATTTGAAATTTCATAATAAATACAACATTGAAACAAAGGTCAAAGAGATGATATAACTGCTTTGTTTTCAAAGCATGGCAGACCATTGAGCAACCACAAGTTTTAACTGCATAGGTCCACTTACACACAGAATTTTTGCAACCAAGCGCCGATAGAAAATACAGCGTCTAACGGATGCAAAACCCACATATAATGGAGGGCCCACTGCAGGACTTGAGTATGGGCAGATTTGGCTATATGGGAGGATTCTGGAAAAAATCCCCTACATATAACAAGGGACAACTGTACATTTGTGTAACTGCCAGAATTGACATGTATTCTAGTTATCCTCATCACCGTCTCGTTCCCATTGAGAATAATTGATTTGAACCTTAGCTTCATACTCTGTTTGGTGATAAACCTTTTACTGGGTGCATTCTAAAATGTTGCTGAATTATGATGATCTGCCTAATTTTACGTGATTTGCCATTTCCTGCTTATGCTGAATTGGATTAGTGACTGAGAGTAGAGCTACATCATATGCAAATGTAGCTTCTGTAGAGTCAAGTATTTGTATTGAACTTGTTCAAGTGTCTTGCTGAGTTTTGTGTGATTGAGGGGTATTTTTGATCTTACTAATTTTTTGCATTACATACTCACTTTTGTTCCTAACCTCACGAGTTGCAATTACTCTATATTACAGATTTTTCTTACTGTCACACAGACATGGCCTGAGTAATTCCACTACACCTAAAACGGGCACTGAGAATGAGTTTAGTTGAGTCGAGAATAGAGAATTCTAAGCATTTAGGGGGGTACCTACTCATTTCTGTCATCATTTCTCTTTAAGAAGAGTGAGATAAACATTCCTTTTTTCCCTTTGATCACAACAAATACTTTGAAACTTTTCTTTATAATTTAACAATATAAATGTTGAAATGTATCGTTTCATGGGCTTTTTTTTAAATAATAGATATATTTAATTATCCTTTTGTGAAATATTAGTAAATATAGAATTATAATTAAAAAAAGAGGTACATTTTTGTTAGCTTTTGACATTGTGTAAGTAACATCAGGTGATGCTATCATATTTATAATGATGCATATCTAAAGTATTCCTATAATTTATCACCAAACCAGGGCATGGTTATGCTATGCATAGTATATGCATTTAATTAGAAATACAGGTGTCAGTTAAATTTATGCCCAAAAAGATGGTAAAAAGGAAATAAGTACAATGTTCAGTGTTATTATCAACAGTTAACGGCCTGAAAGCCAAGTAGTGATATTCAAATATTGCTATAATATTCTTTTATTAGTCTCTTATCTGTGCCATTTTCAAATGTTTTCTCACCTAAATGTTTTATTCAGGCTTATAAGAGTATATGTGCCATGCCCAGAAGGGAGTTTGTCTTTGTTGTACAAAGGAAAACGCACCTCCCTGACAAGGGCTTATGTGTTGTAAAAAGATAAAATGCCTTTATCGTTACTAAGAAGATTAAGATTTAATAATTTTAAGAAGTGTGCATATGTCTTTATTTGCCCTCCCCCTTTTTTTTAAGCTCTGGACTTGTTAATCATTTTCCTAATTTCAATGGATAGATCTTGAGGTAAACCAAGTGTTATGTGCAGTATGTTTGTGTTTTTTCCACAGGTGCATGAATACCTCAGAAGTAAACTTTGTTCACTGTATGAAAATGACTGCATATTTGACAAATTTGAATGTTGTTGGAATGGATCTGACAGGTAATTGACTTTAATTCAAACTTCTCATTCAAATATGAATTTTATTAGAGGAAAGAAACTTAGTATTTCATTCCCCCAGTATGGTTGCCACATTCACCAAAAATATGGCCAGCTTTTTTTAGATTGACTCACCTAACAAGTCTTAACTTCATTTTCCCCCAAGGATTCCTTGAAATAAATTTAGTAATCTTAGACATTATAGCATAACAATACTGGAAAATAAATTTTAAGCATTGTATTTTACTAGTAAGTAAAAATACACAAAATTCTAGATATCTAAACTATTATTTAAATATCTTGAAATTTTTCCCTATTACGAACCAGATAAATAACATTTCTGACATGTTAACACAGTTAAAGTGGTGAAATCTCAGTTTGGTTGTTATTTTACCATTAAACGGTTTTTAGAAATATTTAGGCAGAAGTTATTTCATTTAGATTGTTACACACCAGTCTCCAGTTACTGCATTAACACCTCATAGAAGTGGTAATTTATATAAATTTTAACCATATTATCATGAGTAGTTATGCTTTTTATAATCTCCAATTTTGCTATAGCATGATTCCTTTTTTAGTATGTTATCAAAAATGTATGCCACTATTTCTAAAGATAAATAAGTCTTACTTTCAGTCTTTTAGTTGTCAATATTTATTTAACTGCTGTGTTCCAATAGAACTGAAAATAGTAAAACATAATTTTGGAATTATTTAAACTTGCATTTAACATAATTAGAGGGCCGGGCGCGGTGGCTCACGCCTGTAATCCTAGCTCTCTGGGAGGCCTAGGCGGGCGGATTGTTTGAGCTCAGGAGTTCGAAACCAGCCTGAGCAAGAGCGAGACCCCGTCTCTACTAAAAATAGAAAGAAATTAATTGGACAACTAAAAATATATAGAAAAAATTAGCCGGGCATGGTGGCGCATGCCTGTAGTCCCAGCTACTCAGGAGGCTGAGGCAGGAGGATCTCTTGAGCCCAGGAGTTTGAGGTTGCTGTGAGCTAGGCTGACGCCACGGCACTCACTCTAGCCCAGGCAAAAGAATGAGACTCTGTCTCAAAAAAAAAAAAAACATAATTAGAGGTACTTTATTTAACAATAGTTCTATCACGAAGCTTGATAAGATTCAGGTTTTATAATGTGTGCTATAGATGATAACAGAACTTGGAACGTTTTCTTTTGTCTAATTTTTAAAGTTATTATCTGATTTTGACATGAGGACCAGTAATAGGCTAGCCACAGTAAACGTAGAGTCGCACTGGTAGGGATAGGCAAACATTGTCTTTGGGTGCCTCTGCTAAACCTGACACATCAAGAAGGAAGAAGGAAAGAGAAAAAAGACACTGATAATACTAGGGTATGCTGCACTGCTACAACTAGAGTTCTTCCGCATGTTGTTTAAGCATATTGTTAGTAGTTTTATGGTCCATTATCAGAAGGAAGTTATTTACTTTCCTTAACATTTAAAAGATTTTTTTCTGAAATAATTTTAGACTCAGAGAAGATTTGATAGAATATTACAACTCTTCATTTAGCCTTACCCCTGTTGCTATTTGCTGTATCATGGTCTCTTAACTCTCTTTGTCTATTTATAGCTATATCTATCTATATAAGTGCACACACACCTTTTCTTGTGCACCAATTGGAAGTAAACTCTAAACAAGATGTCCATTACCTCTAATTTCATTAATCAATATTTCCTAAAAGACAACGACACCTTCCAACGTAATGACAGTGCAAGCAGCTAAAGCAGGAATATTTACAACGATGCAATACTGCCATCTAATCCACACACCTGTTGAAATTCACCAGTTATCTCAGTCATTGTCCTTTATGGCACAGAAAAATAGTCTGGTCCACTATCCACTACAAGATCGAATGTTACGTTTAGTTATCGTATCTTGATAGTCCCCTTTATTCTGGGAGTAGTTCATTCTTTCCTTGCCTTTCATGACCATGGCATTTTTTAAGAACACAGGCCAGTTATTTTGTAGAATATTCTGAATTTGAATGTTATCTAATATTTCCTTATGATTAGATTCAGGTTATACATTTTTATCAGGGCTTTCATAGAGATGGGTGCCTAATGATGCCTTTTAAAAGTTACAAATAGTGCTAGCAGCGTGGCGCAGCGGGAGTGTGCTGGGCCCATAACCTAAAAGTTACAATTAGTCATAGCCTGGTTGTCTAATCCATGGTGATGTCAATCTAAATTACATAAATCATTTTTAAATATATATAGTTTTATTTTCAGGGGCATGGATGAACTTGAGTTTGATTACAGTTGTTGTCGGGTGTCCTTTGGGGGACTGACACGACTAACTAGATGGTCATCATTTCTATCTAATACATGGCCTGTGCATACTTTGAACAACCCCCAGTATCCTGTAATCTCATTTACAATAATAATTTTAACCATGTGGTAAGTAGTGGTAGCACCAGACTTTTTCCAGATTATTAAGAGTTTCAAACTTGTGTTTTGTGTATGAGGATACTTAGGAATAAGTTGAGCAGTAAAGGACAGCAAATAGGAATGGCAAGGAAGTATCTCAAGCAGCCTATGAATTTGGTACCCTTTTGAACTGATACTTTTTAAAATATTTACTTAAAATGTCTTTTATCGTTTAAGTAAAATGACTTTCTGTTAATAAAAGTATTACATGCCACTTTCTTAACATTCTCAGGAGCAGATTCATTGTAAGCATTCATAAAACGTGCTTATCTGAACCAGACAACACCCTGAGAACAAATTAAATAGCTGATAATTTAAATGATAAAAATAAAGCATTGTTTTCTTATAAACAGCTATTTCATGCAGGTTGGGTTTAGATTTTCGAAGTGTGAGTTCCACAGATGATTGCTATTTCAAGAAGCTGGCTGGTCTGGTTGATCACATGGCCTGTAGTTGGAAAAATATTCAAAGATGATTAAGTATGCTAAGAAGTTTTACTTGAGGATGCTGTCAGCATTGGTGATAGTTTTGGTAGTCATGAAAAGGAGTAATTGGCAGAAAACCAAGTTAACTCTTACTGTATTTCTGGTTTTATTCCAGTGATTGGGTGACAGCAACCCTGTCCCTTAATTCAGTTCTGCTTGAAGTAGCTGTTTCCTGTGGAGTACTACACTTGGTTTAATCACTGAATCGTTTTTCTTAAAAACAGTCTCTTGTTCTGCTTGTTTGACTGAGTGTTTGTTCTGTCTTCTTTTTACAGTGTTGTCATGACTGGATCTTACAATAATTTCTTCAGAATGTTTGACAGGAACACAAAGCGAGACATAACCCTAGAAGCATCACGGGAAAACAATAAGCCTCGCACGGTTTTGAAGCCACGCAAAGTCTGTGCAAGCGGCAAGCGAAAGAAAGATGAAATAAGTGTTGACAGCCTAGACTTCAACAAGAAAATCCTTCATACAGCATGGCACCCCAAGGAAAATATCATTGCTGTAGCTACTACAAACAATCTGTATATATTTCAAGACAAAGTGAATTAGGGTTGGCATTCCTAGCAGAAGAACCCACTTCCTGCTTAGTTGAGATAGTTGAATCTAGCATTCGTACCTATAACAGAGAGAGGTCCATTGTGGCGCCCCTTTCCAGTGTTTGACAGTGTGCCATTCGACACCACATTTCCATAGCTACATGGAGAAAGCTCTGTGGATCCATCACTGTGGTGTTCTCCATGTCTGCTAGCCATTTAGGTAAGGGTAGGGCACTTTTAATTTAAATGACTTCTTGCACCATCTTGCCTAATGGACTAGATTGGACTGTATCAACATTGATTTACTCCACTTTTTATGCCTTCCATTGTGATGACGTCAAACACAGTGAAAGCCTTCAGTCATGCTATGGGATTTAATTGTGTATCCTCATTACTGTATCATTTGTGGGGTACACCCCCTTTTTAAATTAAATACAGCTCATTCTTACTGTGGCTTGTAGCATTCCTCCTCTCCTGGCCTCCTGGACTCTTCCCCTTCATCTCTCTTACCCTTGCCCCCTCCACCCAGTCTTGGTGGTGGTATATTAAAAAAAAAAGAATGAAAGCACACAAAATGAGTCAGTTTGGGGTCAGTGGTTATAAAGGGGGTATATGTTGAGAACAAATGTTTTAATAACAGTTGGCTGTAATCACTCCTTGCCATGTCTGGCACTGAAAATAAGGAAAAAAAAAAACTACTACTGAATAAAAGTGACAAAGAATGGAGAATCTGGTTTTCTTTTTCTTTTTAACCTACCTCTTTAAGCCAATATTTTGTGTCATACCCTTGGGCGCAGTGAAATGAAGTGGGTTTCCATTGTTTTATTGGTATTTCTGTTAATTATTTTTAACAAGTGTTCTTTTACATGGAGAAGGAGAGGTATTGGTTCTGTATGAACATGTTTTGAATTATATTGGTATTAAGGATTTCACAATATATAAATGCTACTAGAGGTTTTTTTTTAACTGTAGTTATGTGAGGGTATTGGATACATTGTATCTATACTTAACTCATCTGTTAATGAAATTGTTGTAAATGGGAACCAAATTTGTAGAACTTAATTTTTAAAGACTTTTTACAGTGCTTAATTTCATTTTTGCCTTACTATACTAAGTCAAAGACTTAAAAAATGTTTTTAACAGGTTAAAACTTTTTTTGGTCATTCTATTATAATAATAAATCAGAAAACTAACAGGTGATTTACATAGAGAAAACTGACACTGCACTAAATACCTTTTTTTTTTTTGTATTTTACTGCTATCAAATCAGAATGAATTGTACTTTGCCATAGATATTTTTCTTCTATTTTTGGTTTTCCAAAGCTATATTAAAGACAAACTTTTAAAGGTACAGTGTTCAAAAAGTGCTTAATGAACTCCAGCAGCTGCCTCAAATAAAAATTTAGTAATCTGTATATGACTACATTTTCCCTCAGTGGTGATATCTTATCCAAAGATGAAGAGTACTCCTATATTTAATGGGTAGAATGTACCTTTGTCAGTCTTGCAGAAGCTTTAATGGAGAAAAAATGGACTTTATTTTTAAGAGATGAATTGAGCAGGCATTTATATTATTAGAGAATAGTAGTCTATTTTGGTTGAGCGGTAATGTAACAACTTGGAATTTTAGAGGACTCTTGAGTGCTTATGTGTCCACTACCTATTGTTCTATTCTTCAATAATGAAAAATGATTAAACAAATTGGCCATAATTCCCTCTACACTATTACAAATACTATGTCTTGTAAGTTAACATTTTTAGCACAGGAGAAATTTTATGTAATAAAGTTACTGTATCTTTTGGACTTAACAAATTTGAATTTGTATTTAAACACATTGATTATATGTCTGATAATTCTTAATGGCACTTTTACTAATTTATTTGGGGATCTTGGGTGCATTTGTAACTTGTATTATTTATTCTTCACACTTGACTTGCAAGTAGGATATTGCCCTGCCAGAAATATCAAACAGTGATGTCCTTCCTGTGTTCTGATTGGACAACTTTCCAGAAGATCTTTTTGGGAGGTTGTTTCCTTGCAGTTTGGTTGTATCTCTTGAGATAACACCACCAAACAGCTCTTGGAAGTTCTTTTTTGATTCATCAGTAGCTGTGATGGTTCTCATCCATGACACTAAGGGTTAGTTTTATATATTTAAGAGAAACATAATTGCTAAAATTAAAATGCCTCTATCAAGGAATGCTATTATAAACTATTGTAACATTATTCTCAAATACTAATTTTTTAATTTCTTTGGTGTAGCAAACTATATGCCCAGCCACTCATTTTATATGGTCATGGTTAATCTTTTTATTAATAAAAATTATACTTAGAATAAACTTAGTCTTGTCAAGTTACTTGTTATTTCTATTCTCTTGCCACTAATATACATACACATATTTCATCCTTTCTCTTAACCTTTTTAAAAAGATTATGGTAGGAAAATGAAGTTCTATTAATCTCCTTTCATCTTTACTTAGTGGCTGGGCAATAAGAACAGTTATTTTGTTCTCTATATAAACACATGTTGATATAACAGCTAACTACTGGATATTAAGCTTCTGTGAAGCCCTTAGTCTCTTGGAATAAAAAAAAAAATACATCCATATGCGTTTTTCCTTTCAGAATTAACAGGATTTTTTTTAAAACCTTAAATGTAAGAGTTGTTCCAGTTAGAGATATTCCTAAAGAAAACCAGAAATAAGAAAACTGAGTTTCTTTTAGTGTAACTATTTTATGAGTAAGATGTTTATTATTACAAAATTGTGCATATGAGAAAGCTAAGCAGTACTGATGAATTTTTACTGATAATTAAACCATTACCTTCTTAGGGAATATTGCTTCAGCATCCTTTCTCTACCACACACAAAATCAAACGGAGATAGTAATGTGTATTTATGGAACAACCCCTTCCCCCACCCCCCTAAAAAAGGCGTATGCTAGGTAATCAAGAATCAAATTAGTTTACTTTTGTATTCGAGAGCACCACTCAGGTATCTTAGTTTTACCTGTTCAGGTGGTTGATGGTTTAAGCCCTGTGTGAGTGTGTGTGTTACAGTGGTTAAAAAGGGTTTTTTACACACACCTCTCCTTCCCCAAAAGCCTTGGAAAATGACCCTGCTTTATTTTGTAATTACACATGAGATCAAAACAATACAACCCACTTTTTTTTTTTTTTTTTTTTTTGAGACAGAGACTCACTCTGTTGCCCTGGCTAGAGTGAGTGCCATGGCGTTAGCCTAGCTTACAGGAACCTCAAACTCCTGGACTCAAGGGATCCTCCTGCCTCAGCCTCCCGAGTAGCTGGGACTACAGGCACACGCCACCATGCCCGGCTAATTTTTTCTATGTATTTTTTTTTAGTTGTCCAGATAATTTCTTTCTATTTTTTTTAGTAGAGACGGGGTCTCGCTCTTGCTCAGGCTGGTCTCGAACTCCTGAGCTCAAACAATCCGCCCGCCTCGGCCTCCCAGAGTGCTAGGATTACAGGCGTGAGCCACCGCGCCCAGCCCAACCCACTTTTAATATTAATCAAATGCTTAGTGAATCTATGAAGTCTGGAGGTGTTCTCATGTGCTAAAGATACTTTTTTAAAATTAAGTTTCCCTCAACATTTTACTACATAGTGGTATTACTAGACTGTAACCTACTACCTCTATATAAAGAATCAAAACATCCACTTTACAGACCTAAGTTAGTAAGCCCCTCCCTAGCACAGTTCTTATCAATAAGAAGGTACCTACAAAACTTAGTTTGCTCCAAAAGGAGGGATTTGATAAAAAGATAAACTGGCATAAGGGGAAAAGCTAATATTTGTCTTTCTTTTTTTTATGTTCTACTCTTACACTCTGGTAATACAGCAACAAGTTATTTGAGGACTTTCCCACTAGGGGGCAATGGTTAAGTCTGGAATGGCATTTATGAGGTATTTTCCAGAATGTATAAACAGGGGAGTTCTCTTTCTGTAGTGGAAGAGCTTCATTATTAAAAATCAAATCAAGGACCAAATGGAAAGTCCAAAATATGTAAATAAAGCCACAATTCAATATGACTCTGGAGTAAGTAGGTCATTAAATATGAAATGTCCGATTTTGAATCAAAAGTGTAGTTTATTATATCTCAAACAATAAGCAGTACAATCAAAGTATGTGCCTAAACTGTTGATACAGTTTTGCCATCTTAACGGTAGCTTGTTTATACCAGCAGGGAAGAAGCCTGGAGAGTGAGTGGTGACGAAATCGCGAAAGGCATTTTCCACAGCTTGTTGAGAATTGAATATTTTTCCTTGTAAGAAGTGGTCCAAAGCCTGGAAGAAGTGGCAGTCAGTTGGTACAAGGTCTGGTGAATGCAGTAGATGACAAGAGTTTCCAAGTCCAGCCTGTGTAGTTTGAGCAGCGTTGTTTGTGCAACATGTGGTCGAGCGTTGTCTTGCAAGAGGATTGGCCTGTCTCTGTTGACCAGTCTCGGCTGCTTAATCACAAGCATCCTCATCATTTCATCATTTCACTGGTTGCAGTAGACATCTGCTGTAATCAACTGACCAGGTTTCATGAAGCTGTAAGTGGATAATACCAGTACTAGACCACCAAACAGACACCATTAGCTTTTTTGGATGAATATTCGGTTTTGGACTGTGTTTTGACACCTCATCTTTATCCAACCATTGTGTTAAATGCTTGCGATTGGGGAAAAAAATCCATTTTTCATCACAGGTAACAATATGGTGTAGAAATGGTTCGCCTTTATGTTGTGACAGCAAAGAAAGGCAAATTTCGAGATGATTTCTCTTCTGATGCTTGTTTAATTCATGTGGAACCCATCTATCCAGCTTCTTTACCTTGCCCATTTGTTTCCAATGGTCCAATATTGTTGGAATAGTAACGTCAAACCTTGCTGCTAATTCACGTGTAGGTTGAGATGGATTCGCCTCCACTACAGCTTTCAGCTCATCATCATCCACCTTGGTCTCAGGTCGCCCACGTGGCTCATTTTCAAGATTAAACTCACCAGAATGGAACTTCTCAAACCATTGACGTACTTACTGTGCGTTCATTAGCCACATCCCTCCCAAACACTTTGTTGATATTTTGAGCTGTCTGCACATTGGTTCCACGACAGAACTCATATTCGAAAATGACACGCATTTTGACTTAACCATGGTTTCACATAAATTGCTCAAAAAATTTTTTGAAAGATAATCACAAGCCAAAACATGCGTTTGCAAGACTGAGGCTGTACCTTCACAATAAAAATGAAGTGTCAAAGTGAAATGTCAGAAATAACAACTAAGTACTTAAGGAAATCGGACATTTCATACTTAATAACCTAATATTTGAGGACCCAGTGATAGAGGGGAACCCAAACACCACCTGCGATGTCTAGCATAGCCAGTTTTGACAGAGGAAGCAGCAAAAGTGAAGTTGGAAGATGGTTCTGAGCTGTCCTTTCAATCACAGACTACCCAGCCTGCCCATCTCTTTGCAAAATCATATCATACGTGCCATCTCAGCTTTCTCCCTCTTAAAAAGAGACCAAGAATTTCGTGTTGCACATTTAGGCTGATTTAACTCCGAATTTCTTTTTCTAGAAATAGCGTTGTGAATACATATTCTTTGGAAAGTATTTTTTAAGAAGTACCTCACCAGTAATATCAGAGTAAACTCCCATTCTCATTTTTACATATTTTCTCTCTTCTGGGCATAAAATTATTTTTTATAGAATAGGGCAT